ATTAGCTGGAGGTGGAGCATAACGATAAATGAATAAAATAAAAAGGCCAAGGTAGAAGCTGATCCAGATATAGTCAGAATCAGCTGTTTCCCCCTTGTTTTTGTTTTAGTCCAGGAAATCAAATCAGAGGATGAAAAAAGGATGTGAGAAAACAGAATATTATTTTGGTACATATATTATTTGGTACATGATATTATTTGGTACATATATTGGTACTACCTATTAGGCTATGATACTACATGAAGGGTTTTTTTTGTTTGTTTTAATTTCATTTTCTTGATGAGTGTTTCACTATGTTGCTCAGGCTGGGCCTCCAACTCCTCAGCTCAAGTAATCCCCCTGCCTCAGTCTCCTGAGTAGACTATAGGTGTATCACAAAGAGAGATTCTGTGCGTTTGTGTGTGTGTGTGTACATATGTGTATGTGCCACAATGTGCCTGTAGAGGCCAAAATAATGCCCTGGTATCAGGCTTCAAATTATACTTTGTTTGAAACAGGGTTTCTGTCATGTTCTTCTGCTACATGTGCCATCTTTGGCCCATGATCTCTTGGGAGGAGTGACAGGGCTGTGGACAACTGTGCTGTGGTGGCTGGCTTTTGTTTGCTGCTTTGTTTTTAAACATGGGTCCTCATGCCTGCATGACAAATAATTTAATCATCTGAGCCATTTTCCAGCCCTGAATTGAGATTTTTTTAAAGCCAGCATAGGGGCTCAAGAGGTGGGCCAGCAGTTAGGAACACCAACTGCCCTTCAGAGGCCACAGCTCACAGCTGTCTGTTAGATCTCTGCTGCCAGAGATCTAGAGCCCTCAGACACACACGCAGGTAAAGCACCAATGCTCGTGAAAGAGAAATAAATCAATCTTAAAAAAAAAAAAAAAAAAAAGAATCCAGCAGGGTGATAGTGCCTCACACCTGGGGGTAAAAAGGCCTACCATGTGTAGCTCTTGGGAAACTGAGGCAGGAGAACCATACCAGGAGTGCCATACCAGCCTGGACAACATACTGAGTTCAAGGCTAGCCTAGGCTACAAAGTGAGACCCTGTATCAAGGAAAAGAAGACCTTTTGCTATTAGAGGGAACTACCTTTTTCCTAGTCCTCTGGTTTCCATAGGATGTTTTTCTTATGGCCTCAACCTGTCTTATTTCACATGCCCTTAGGATGTTTCAACAGACTGATGAAATTGGCTTTTGTTGGTGGTGGTGTTTTTGTTTCATGTGTGTGTGTGTGTGTTTTTCCCAAGACAGGGTTTATGTGCGTAGCCTTCGCTGTCCTGGACTGACTTTGTAGACCAGGCTGGCCTTGAACTCACGGAGGTCTGTCTCTGCCTCCTTGAGTGCTGCAATTATAGGCCTGTGCTACCCTGTCTGGCTAGACTGACAAAACTGTAAAGAATTTATCTGTCTCAAAGACTGTCTCCTCCAGGAGGACATTCTAGAATCATCATGCTGTGAAAATGGTCACAGTAAGCAGGTTAAATATTCTTCCTCCAAGTCCATTTACCTTTGACCTAGTTAGAAATACCTTTGCTCAAAATTATCTTATATAAACTTTGACCTAGTTTCCTTCCCAAGTCATTGATTTTGAGTGTGAGGAAAATGTGTTTACATCGACCATAAACCCCTCGGTTCCATCCATCCACAGGCTGGGGTTAGAGTCTCTCTAATGTCCCAGTATCTTACCAGACAGTGTTGGCAAGCCCGGCTGACTTGGCAGAACTCGGGCCCCTCCCAACACACTCTAGTTTACACAAGATAATGAGAGGAGGCGGGTTCCCTGGCATCACATGGAGGTTTATCTCTGTCTATGAAACTCCCTATGAGGCAGCACACAGATGCGCACACGCCCCTGAAAGGAGAGGAGGTGCAGCCTGTGCTTCCAACTCATGAAGTGCGCTACTGTGGACAGAGACCAAGGCTGACAGGAGAAGACATTCTCTAGAGACACGCTTTGTGCCGACGAGCACTGTGTAACTCCCCTACTAAATCCTCTGCAGTAAGAGAGGGAGCAGTACGGTGCGATTCAGTCAACTGCCTGGATCTCTCTGTAAGAGGCAGGTTGCACTCTAAAGCCCGTCCCTGTCTCAGCACATCACAAAGCCTTCCTCAAGCCTTGTTACAGGACAGATCCCCGGTTACATGCACAGTAACTTAGCTCCTTATTGCTTCCCCAGTACTCTACATAGCCTTCTTTCGAGCTTCCAGATTTCCCTTTTACTTCAGCGGGTTTTGAAACTACCTGTCCTCTCGGTGGCAGTGAATTACAAACACATTCCGCAGCTCGCACTCCCTGCACCCTGACTCTGGAATAACTATGTCATTCGTCCTGGTGTGACCGGTGGAAGGTACAGAAGTCACACGGTGGGAGGCCTCAGAGGCTCTAACAGCTTCTGCTTTTGCAGTCAGTAAACCCTCTTCAAAACAAAACAAAAACCAGCTCAGGGTAAGCCTAAGGGTAGGTGAGGCACCATGACAGCTGAGCTGAGTGGTCCCAGCCCCCAGCATGTAGCTGTCTGACAGCTGACAGAACACGCACAGATGATCTTGGCCATGACCGCAAGACACATCCAGCAACCTTAGCCCGAACTGCCGGCACCCAGGACCGAGAAGAGTAGTTGTCTTAAACCATTAAGCCCTGGGAGTTAAATGGCAAAGCTAACTCATACAAGCCTCCCCGACTTAGGGCAGAGACTTGGAATTTTTTTCTCAAGGCTTTTTTTTTTTTTTTTTTTGTAGAACCAGAAATTCTTTGTGTGCATGTGTCTATGTGTTGCATGTACTTGTTATACTGTGTGTGGAGGAAGAGGTGAAGCAGGCGGTCCTTCCTCAGTCACTATGTGCCTTTGGTTGTTCAAGGGTCTCTGGGTGAACCTGAAGCTCCTCAGTTTGGGTAGACTGGCTGGCCTGTGAGGCTCAGGGACTCGACATCCTCCATTTCCCCAGTGCTGGGGTCATAGGCACTCGACACTGTGCCCAGCTTTTTTTTTAGACTTATTTTTCTTTTATGTTGCATGCCGGCTGCCCATGGAGGTCAGAAGAGTCTGGAACTAGATTTGCAGGCAGTGAGCTGCCTCGTGGGTGCTGGGAACTGAACCTGGTCCTCTTAACTGCTGACCTACTCTCCAGTCCCTACACTCAGCTCTTCCTGTGGATTCTGAGGATCCCAACTCAGGTTCCCCATTTACTGCACAGGCACTGTACTGACTGGGCTATTTCCTCAGTTAGATCACAGAGACTGTTTGCAGCTAAAAGTAAATGGCACTAGGCTCCAAGGTCACTGAAGAGTTTACTAACAAGAGCTCATTCTTTCCTCTTTCTTCTGGCAAAGGCCAATCTGAGCCGGCTGGAACTCCTCACATTCAGACTGGTGCTCATGCGATGAAACCTTGGGTTAGGTCTGCATGAGCTCGTGAATCCAGAGCAATGACAAATGTGTAACCACAGCACTGAGGCAGGACCAGCAGTTCAAGGTTATCCTTGACTAGTTCTTCAAGCTGCTGACGGTGAACTGGCCCACCCTTCTCTTTCTCATAAGGCCCCAGAGACAAGTACAAGCTTTCTGAGTCTTTGTGCTTCTGTCATATTTTGGCTACATGTGGCCTACATGAGACCCTGTGTCAAGACTGGGGTTGGGGAGGGTGGCCTTGTAGACCCCACCTTTTTAGGTTTTAGATGTAAATTAGGAACAAGCTTCGACCTGACTGGGTGCTGTTGAGAAGTGGAACAAGCATGGGTTCTCACTACTTCCTCGAAAGCTTCCATAAACCCTACATCTGGAATATGGTATCTGAGCTTCTGAGGAAATGTTCTCTTATAGACATAAGAGGCTTTGCCTGTATAAGATTTGAGTTAACTTGCTAAAACAGAAACTTTCTATTATGACATTTCCCTCTTTACACCAAAATGAGTTTATTCACATAAATTTAACCTCAGTTTTTATACACAAGTGTTTCCAATTTAGCAAGAGTTGATTCTAAACACAAGTCACAGAGCGTGCCAGAACAAGATCACCATCAGCTACAGAAGAACACAAGAATACAGTATCTTTCATAACAGCCCTGCTTTAAGGCTCCAGAGCTGAAACCGAAATATAAAGCTGCCAAGTCACTTGGAAAAATTAAATTGTACCTGGTGGCCAAGTTGAATAATGGTCTCTCAAAAATGCTATGGTATCAGCTGGCCACCAGCCCTGTGCACCTGCAAATGCTGGTGGACTAAAAAAGGAACTGATTGCCTCTGGGAAAATAAGGATGACCTACAAGCTGATGCTGGACAGTTTTCACACTTGGACCTAAGCCAGGCAGGTAAGGCCCAAATTCAAAGTGTGACATGAGGGCCTCTGTACGCTCAGGGGCTTGGAGCTGCTGTCCGGCATAGCCCTCACTGGTGGGGCCTACTGCTGTATGTGGGGGAGATGATGCTAATTTCATCTGCCCCTTCACCCCAAGCCTGTGCAGTTAGCATGCTAAGAGTCATTTCCCGTGAGGTGGTCAGTTAGGAGGCGGAGACCAAAGAATCAGACATAAGGAATAACTTAGGAGATTGCTTAATTTATTCATGAAGGAGTGTGGTGAGAGAGAGAGAGAGAGAAAGAGAACTGGAAACATACATCTAAGGGGAAAAACATTTTTGTTCTTTTGTTTTGTTTGTTTTTTAAGACAGGGTTTCTCTGTGTGGCTCTGGCTGTCCTGGAACTCGCTCTGTAGACCAGGCTGGCCTTGACCTCATAGAGCTCCACCTGCCTCTGCCTCCCGGTGCTGACATGTGAAGGCATGCACCACCACTAGGGAGGAATTTTTTTTTTTTTTTTGAGGTAGGGTGTGTGCCCTAATAGCCTGGAACTTTTTGTAAGCACTAACCTTGAACTCACAGAGATCTACCTGCCTCTGCATTCCTAGTGCTGAGATTAAAGGCATGTACCACCATGCTCGCTCAGCTTGAAATATTTGCGTTATCAGTGAGAATTAAGTAAAGAAGGGGAGACAGTCTTTCACAGGTACCTGTATCCTAGCTGCTCACTGAGGTGGATCATGTGAAGGATGTAGGACTCCTTGCTCGTCCCAGTGAGGCCAGGCAGGAGCAAGACAGTGGGCCTGGTGCTGGCGTCCGCGTAACACGCACTGGTGTCGTTATCAAACCAGTCCAGTGAGATCTGTCCTCCATCCTCGGTTTTAATGAGTTCACTGAAAGGAACAGTTCCAAAGGCATTAAGGAGTAGGCCTTCGAGTTGCACACCTTGGTGTTTTCGTTCTATAAATATGACATCTGGTCATCTCAAAATAACGATGTATATTCATGAATATACATATATCTATGAAAGTTACTTCCTTTCATTACAAAATCATTATGAAGATTAATGCCATATTTCCAGCAGCCGCAATAAAAGCTAACAGTTTGTTAAAAACTGAACTCCAAAGGGGGATAAATCAGGACTCTGTGTGTATATGTGAATTTGGTCAAAATACATTATATACATGCACGAAATTATCAAAGAACCAATAAAACATTTTAAAGCTTAATTTAAAAAGGAATAAACTTCAGAGAACTTTAAATACTTGGGAGTGGCATGCACCGGGCTTTGCGTTCATCTCTGGTGGCACGCACACACAACACACAGCCCTTCATACATTGGTATTAACTATTTCCTTATTGCTCTCGAAGGCCTAGCATTTAACCCCTATCAGATTGAGGTCACACAGATACCAACAGGAAATTCTGAGGAAGTCTGGGGCTCACTTGGCCTATGCTGCGACTCGATGCAGCCTCTCATTGACAGGCCTTACAAAATTTGCTTCTTGAATGACTTCTCACATAGCATCTAGGTTGGCAGGGAGAAAAGGAACTCTGGAAAGACCAGATGACTCAGGGAAATTAGTAACAGACACCATGTAAATCTCCCGCTCAGATACGTCCCCATGCACACCTGCAACACCTCAAAACACCATTATCCTCAGAAACCCATGTGCTTGTCACTGTGAACGCTTTCCTAGGGAGACACACAGAATCTGAAGCGATCGACAGTTCTCTGCCCACTACCCCGGGACTGTCAACACGTGAATACAGCGGCGCAGCTCATCAAGGTGTCAGGGTCCTCAAGGGCAAACTGGAAAACAAACGGTAAAC